TTGTAGTTTCAGAGCCCTATGATCCTGTGGTGGTTGGAGGAACAGCCTCCATTTAGGTGACCCACCCCCTGACTCCGGTGTTGGGAACCTTCTGTGTGAGTTTGTATCAACACACAGCCTACAGTTACCACACCCCAAATGAACTCCTAGGGAGACCTGATTGGTTGCTATCAGGTCTGATATGTTGGCTGTGGGCATTGCCTCACTCAAGACACCTGCCTCCTCACACGTAGCAGGCGTAGACAGCTGTCTTCCAACCAGAAGAGGGAGCAAGCTGACCCAGACTATGTCGGGAAGGTCTGTCCTGTTGGAACCAGAGAGTTCTGAGCTATGTGGTGTGGTACACAGGGAGGCAGGTAGTATGTTGAGGATGGGTGTCAACCCAACTGTAGCATCAGCCTGGCAAAACAGTTGTTACCAGGTCAGGGAGAAGGTGTCGCACTGTGGTCTGACCTCCAGAGCCCTGCCTTGTTGCTATCAGAGTCCTCCGAGTAGCTTGCTAGATGTGAATGCTGCTTGCCCTTCCAACTCCTGTTCCCTCAGCCTCAGTCAGTAGTGCCCAGTGCTAGCTGCAAGTGGAGGCAGACCAAGCCTCAGGGAGCCACAAGGAGGTTTGTCCTGTTGGTTTTAGAGGCCAGAGCTGTGGAGTGTGCAGTTAGAGGACCCTGGGAGCCTGGGTAGCAATTCCCTGCAGTCTTGCAGGTGACAGTGTCCTAGTCTGGGAGGGGCTATGACACTGAAACGGGCCCCTGGGGACATCTGCCATGTTGCTTTTAGAGCAGAAACTTGGGGTCTGCTCTCTCTGTTCACGTAGAGGCTGTGGTGGCTCTTTTTCTGGGGCCACTTTCAGCTTGTCTAGGGGGAGAGTGCGGGATCATGGGAGGAGTGATTTTCCTACTGCATGTCCCTCATTGTTGATTCTTTGATCTTCCCTGATGCTTTCTTCTGCTCTCTGATTCTGAGTCCCTCAAAGTCAAGTTGTATTTTTTATATTTGCCGGGGAGGGTTGGGACAATGGTTTATTTACACTGCCGTTTTTCTAGGGTCTTTTCTTTTTTGACGTTTTATTGTGAATTGGGTGAAAGCTGATACAGCAAATTGGATTTTCATCCAACAATGGTTTATTTACACTGCTATTTTTCTAGGGTCTTTTCTTTGTTGACGTTTTATTGTGACTAGGGACAAATTGGATTTCTAGCCAACAATGGTTTATTTATAAATGTTGCTAGTTTTCTTGGGTCTCTTTTCCATCCAACAATTTTGTGACACTGATTGCATTCCCCCATGATCCCAGTGGGCTTCAAAAAGTTGTGGGAAAACTCCATTATCTTTTCTATTTTCTACAAATTTTCTGAAGCCCCCTTGTAAAGCGGCAGACACTCTTTCCACTTACTCTCTGGATTTTCCATTTCTATTCATCCTTCCTTCATCCATCCCTTCTACCTTCTTGAGTTTCAACGCTGGGCAAATGCTGCTCTTATGGTTCTAAGGAGTGTGTCCCTGTACGCCTGTGTATTGTTTAGCTGACATCTGAGCCATGGGAGTGAGTTTGATTCTAGGACTGAAGGGGTCCCTCCAGTCTCTATTAGACTATGAAGTTGGTTTGTTTGCTGTTGTTATTGTTTTATAAAGGAGCTTTGTTCCATGTTTTTCTTCCTCTCTGTCCAGGGTCTTTTCATTTTCTTGATGGTACTTTTGAAGCAACCAAGTGTTTAATTCTGACAAAGTTGGTTTACCAATTTTCTTTTATAGATCATGCTTTTGTTGTCGTCGCTAAAAACCTTTGCCAAACTTTCAGCTGCAACATCTGCGTTTTATTCTAGATGTTTTGTAGGTTTAGCACTTAAACTTAGGTAATCTGTTTTAATTATTTTGTATCCCAAAAATGTGCAGCTTTGGGGTTGGCCAAGAACTTTTACTACATTGAATTATGATGTATGTAATTTTTATGGGGGTCAAATTTAAGATTTTTCCCAACTGTTGTCTGCATTTTCTATTTCATGAATACAAATCTTTTTCCCTTTGATGATCATATAATCACTTACATTTCTTTCTAGTTAGTGCATTTTGACTCTTTGGTCAATCTTGAATGTATTTTGGTTATGAGGCATGTAGCTCACATTCCCTTTTTCCAAATCTCTCTACTTGTTGTCTCATTGTTAACTCATTAAAGAATCCATTCTTCTTCCTGCTGGTTTGAAGCCACCATCATCATTCCTATCATCCCCTTGGTTCATTTTGTTTTAATACTTTTAAGTCTTTTCCTGTGCCTTTATCATACTTATTAAAACATTTACAACTTCAGTAATTTAAAATTTGGTAAGAGTTCTGGTAGCATAGGGGTTGTGAATCGGGCTGTGAATCTCAAGGTCAGCAATTTGAAACTACCAGCTGTACCACGGGAGAAAGATGAGGCTTTCTGCTCCCGTGGCGATTTATAGCCTTGGAAACCCTGTACAGGGTCACTGTAACTCGGAACCGACTCCACGGCACACAGCCACCACCAGAGCTCCTATATGTTAGGCATTTCTTTAGCATTCCAGAAGCAATGACAATAATTTTATTAAGCTCCAAAAGTCCTGTTTGCATTTTGATTTCATGGAACTCGTATATTAATTTGTACATAATTGATGAAATTTAAAGAGTAAATTCACAGCATTGTCTCCCTATGTCCTATTCTCTTCCTTTCCCCCAGTTTTACTTTTATTTTGGGAATTAGCTTAATGCCATGTTTATGCCATTTAAAGTTCAAATAAGTAGATGGGCTTTTTAGGTTTCTGTATTCCTGACTTGTTTTCTTGGACTATAGTCAAAAGTATGTGGGGAACTTGGTAGCTTTGTAGGATAAACACTGAACTGTGGACCACAAGGCTGGCAGTTTAGAGCCTACGAGACTCTGTGAGAAAAAGATAAGGCTTTCTGCTTCAGCAAAGATTTAGTGTTGGAAACCCCATACGGGGTCTCTGTGAGTCAGCACTAACTAGACAACACTGAACGCCAGCCAGAGTATGTGATCTTGGTGACACAAATGCTTTGGAATTTTTAAGACTTCTTTTAGCTTATTGCAAATTTTTACAAATGTTTCCAATGGGCTTGAAAATAATGTATATTCTGTAATTGCTTCTAGATTTTTATAGAATAAGCTTGTACTGTTCCCATGTCCCACTTTAGTTGGAATTTGTTAGTTGGCGTCTTGTTTTAAAGGAGCCTGGGTTTAATATCTTTTGGGTGAGCTGTTCTTTTTTTCAGTAGGAACTCTCCCTATTTTTGCATTTTATTCTATTTTGTCTGAAACTGATATTGGTATGCCGGTTCTTCTTAGGCGGTTTTTTGGGACCATGTCCCATTTCCTTTTATCCTTTTGTCTTTCAGCGTTGTTGCCCTTTGGCTCACGTCTCTTTGAATACAACCCCAGTCTCTGATCAGACAAGCTTCATCTGTTGGCAGTTTTTGCAATTACTGGTAGTTAGAATGATTTTTAACATACTGCTCTGTGATTTCTTGGCTTTTAAAAATCGTATTCTAATTTATTATATCCATCAAGTATATTTATTCCTTTTTCTTCTACTGATGTGGACATTGTGTTTCTGTTTTTTTATTGAGACTCTTAAAAATTTCACACGAATGTCAGTAGCTCAATTCCCCTCCATTTCTTATTGTCTAGCTGTTTAGTCAAGGAGCTCTGATAGCTGCTTACCTCACAGTAAAGAGTTTGAAACTTCCATCCATTCTGGGGAAGAAAGATGAGGCTTCCTTCTCCCATACAGATTTACAGCCTTAGAAACCCTAGGCAGGGTCGCTATGAGTCAGAACTGACTCCACGGCACACCACCACACCGTTAGTTACACCACCAGCCTATTAGTTACACCTTGTTATTATAAAACTAACACTCCAAAACCAATCTGTCATTACCAAAAAGAAACCCTGTTCTTGTATCGTTTCTGTTTTCCCATTGCCATCGCTTCTTGTAGTCACCTTCTCCGAGTTCAGTACCGTTGTCTGTGAGTCTGTCCTTCGATAGTTTTCAGTGAGGATTGGGTAGTGAAATGTCTCAGAGTCACTGTTTATTTGAAAGTTTACTTTGCCTGTAGTCTTGCGTGATAATTTGTTGTTCCAACTCCTAGCAACCCTGTATAGGGTCTCCAAGGAGCAGCTAGTGAGCCTGAGCCGCCAGCGCTGTGGTTCAAACTGGCTTTTCTGTCAAGCACATTAACCCACAGCGCCACACCAGGGCTATAAACATTACTGTGGAGGAAAAATCATCAGAAAATCTTAAGGAATAATGAATTTTTAAATTAACTACAGAATTGTGCCAATTCGAACTACAGTAGATGTCTTATGAGAAACAGTATCTTTAAAGTGATAGGGGCGACTGATTTCAGAGTCAAATTCTAGGTGGCTAAACAATCTAGGTGCTGTCAGATCAGCACTGGAATGGGAACCACAAGGTCAGCAGTTCAAACCCACCAGCTGCTCCTCAGAAACCCTATACTGGGTCTCTATGAGTCAGAACGGACTCAATGGCACTTAGGAATAGCAGCAGCGCTGTTTATATCTGGGCATGTCTTGGATTGGGTTCAGTGTGTGTGGAATTACCAGTGCTTGGGAAGAATTATTCCACTTGAGTGGAATTGTGGACTCCACTCAAAAAGAAATATTCCACTGTGGACTCACATGCGATTTGTGTAACATGGGAATTCTGTGCAGCTTTGATTTCGCAAGTACAAGGTGCCCCAGGAGCAAGTGGCCTGGGACTGATCTTCCCATTGGTTTCTTGCCTAGCTTTTAGGACCCAAATTGGTAATTCCTGGAAAAGACCACCCCAAGCCATTCCTCCTCTCTCCTGGTTTGGTGACTCACAGCATGAAGATCCAGTCCTCTCCCATGCACGTAGCTCTCTCACGTCACGTCTCCATAGCCAGGCACCCACCTGGTTGCCCTCTCTGTGACATCATTGGAAAGGTTCCTAAAGCTGACTTCCATATTCCTTCTTTTTCAGGCTTGTTTACGTTGCAGGTCGGGAAGGCCACATGCTGAAAATTCTCTCTTACATTAGTGTCAGGCGCCTGACTCCAGCCCCTGCCATCATCTTTTATGTAAGTATGGATTCGACCAAGAAAACACCTTCCTAAAAGGCAGAGGGCCCCTGAGTTTGGAAGTAGACCCACATTGCTAGCCCCATGGTTTCCAAGTAATTCAGGGACCCAGATAAAGGTCTCTTATGTCTCAAGGGGAAGGTCCTGGTGTGGCGCTGTGGGTTAATACACTGGACTCAAAGTTGGTTTGAACCACAAGGTCAGTAGTTTAAGCTCACCAGCCGCTCCTCGGAAACCCTGTACAGGGTCACTATGGGTCGGAACCAGCTTGAAGGCACTTAACAACAAATGCCTCAAGATGAAATCAACCACACCAAACCATCTGTCACTGAGTTATTTCCAGCTCGTTAGCTAACCAGCAGGGCAGAGTAGAACGACCACGGAGTTTCCAAGGCTGGAAATCTTTACAGAAGTTATGGTCACATCTTTCTCTCATGGGTGGCTGGTGGGTTCAAACCACTGGGCTTCCAGTTAGCCTCTGATGGCTTTAATCACGGTGCCACCAGCGCTCCTTTTCAAGGCAAAACAGAGATACAAAATCCAAGACAGTTCAACATTTTAGTTCTTTCTTGTTCTGAATGTATCTGAGAAAGACACATTTGACCCTTCCACATAGGTACATCTGTCTTTGGTGACAGCCTATACAAACCTGCTAGTTTAGGGTCTGGAAGGAGAATAGGGCATTTTACAAGGTGGAGGCTGACAGGCGTGTTTCATTACAGTCCAAGGCTTTCGACGTCCTGGGCTCCTTGTGCAGTTGGGCCCTCCGACCTGTCCTGGACACTCCTAGTCTCAGGAAACCAAGTATTAGCATCGCCCCTGAGGAAAACCCCTACTGTCAGCCTGCTCCCCTTGAAGATGAGGAAACACCTGAGAGTGGGGACCCCTGTCGAGGTCAAGATCAGGCCTCAATGCCTAAGCATAAGTTTCGTAAACCAGGGTCCTGTCGCTGGGAAAAAAATTCATAATTAGACAGTTGATAATGCATGTGTGTGGAGAGACACACGAACACACCATATGTAAAAACAAACATGTATCACCCTATATGAGGGTGAGTCAGAAAGTATTGCTACTAAGGTTGTAGTAAATGCACAGGTTTATTTCAAACAAAATGTGTTTAAGTATGTCTCTGCCATCAATGGATGGTTGCAGGTAAGTTCTCTCAGTAATGTTGTTAAGTGCTGTCCAGTTGGTCCAACTCACAGCAACCCTGTACAGAGTTTCTGAGGAGCAAGCTGGTGGGCTTGAACTGCTGGCCTTTTGGTTAGCAGTCAAGAGCTTCTCCTACAACGCCACAGCAGGACTCTGTAATAGATGTGTAGTTCCTGGAAGGTGACTTCAAACACAAGGTCCACTGAAACACTGGCTTCTGATGGGCCAGTTCAATTCCAGACAGAGGGGCCAATTCAGGGGGATAAGGCGACTGTTTCTTTTGTAACTTCAAAGGGGCAATTATGATAGATTTTTCTCAAAGGACACAGTACAATCATGGGGATTTATTGTGAAGATTTAATAAAAAATTACATTGATGAAAAGGCCAGGAAGATGTGCTAAAGAATTTTTTTTTCCATCAAAACGATGCACCTGCTCATTCTTCAAGGGTAACAAGGGCTGTTGTCCTCTGAGGAACTTGTTGGGAAACCTTACCCCATCCATCGTACAGCCCTGACTTTTTGACCCTTAAGACATTTTTGTTCCTAAAATTAAAAAAAAAAAAAAAACAGTGAAAGGGAAACAGTCCTTCAGGGATGCCCAAAATGTTATGACCTGATATAAATCGGGGAGCCCCAAATGCTTCCAGAAAGGGTTAGAGACAGAACAGCGCTTTCAGAAGTGTGCCATCCTTATTGTTAAGAGATGTTGAGTTGGTTCTGACTCATAGCGACCAGTTCCAAGGACTGACTTTTGAGTTTGAACAGCTGAGCTTGTGGTTCAAACCAACTTTGCATCCAGTGCATTAACCCATAGTGCCACACACCAGTACTCCACGTGTACCATCCTAGATGGAGAATATGTTGAAAAACAATAGCTTTATATTCTGGTATTTCTGCTTAATGTAAAGGAACAACATAGATAGATAGACAGACAGACAGATAGATAGATATCCTGGTATGGTGCTGTAGGATCAGCACTGGACTGTGAACTACAAGGCCAGAGTTCAAACCCAGCAGCTGCTCCTTGGAAACCCTATACAGGATCACTATGAGTCAGAACCAACTCAACAGCACTTAACTGAGTTATGTATGTGTGTGTGCGCAGTTTGTTTTTGGTTTTCCTGTTTAAAATCACATCAAATTTGTGGAACAATATACACTTGTCTGTGGATATTCATCAGCTACATGCTCAAATTTATGATATAAGTAATTCTCAAAGTGAACACTGAGTGGCTACTAATTTGCTACCCCTGCTAGAGAGTAAGATCCCCTAAGAACTTGATTGAACCTCAGCATAGTGATCCTGCTTGGTCACCTTAGAGCAGGTGGCGGGCCGGCAACGTCTGGCGCATGGGGTCTCCAGCCAATCTCCTCCCTCCCTGCCTTCCTCGGATGGCGGCTGTTTATGCTGGACGTGTGGCCAGAGACGGGTAAGGATCACGTGGAACCTCGGCAACTTAAGACAGAGCCATTGCCATGCTGCAATGAGTCTCAATGACTGGTAAGACTGAGGAATTTGCACTGACTGCCTAAGACAGGCAGCGTCCCTTAAACAAACAATAAATAAGGAGGATTCGGATGCAGACCGTGCAGACCCGGTCAGGAGGTCAAGCCCCTGTGGGCCCAAGCGTTGTTGACAGTCCAAACCATAGGCTCTGAGGATCAGACTTTAGCTACCTAGTAGACATAGCAAACTGTCCCTCATCTGATTATTCAGTAATGCTTATCAGTAATCTCATACATGAGCCCTGGATATCCACAGACAAATGTAAAAACCTTCCCTAAAAGCCGAGACTGTAAATTCCAAAAAGGCAAGTCCCCCACCTCATCCAAAAAAAAAAAAAAGCTAAAGAGGATAAACACTGTTAACTGATGATATATGGCGGGGATAATAATCAATGTTCCCAAAGGCAGTATCTATTTCTAACCAAAGTCTGGTTTAACCCCAAATATCAAGAGGGAAAACAGGAAGTTTCTTTCCTGCGTAAAAAGTGCTTCTTTAGTCTACCGTGTAGCAATAAGGATGTTTTGTGCCTAAGTGACCTGCACACTCCTCATTCTTCCTACTAGGGCACCATCGCCATCATTTACATCATCCCTGGGGACATCAACTCACTGGTCAATTACTTCAGTTTTACAGCCTGGTTTTTTTACGGCCTGACCATCTTTGGGCTCATTGTGATGAGGTTTACAAGGAAAGATCTGGAGAGGCCTATCAAGGTAAGTGTGGTGGCCGGATGTCACTGATGGCTTTGTTGGGTTTAAAACAAAGGAAGGACTTCATTATTTTGAGTTTTAGGGTTAAAGATTGTGCAGGAAGGACAGAAAATTCCTGCATGTCCCTCCCCCTTGCACACAATCTCTCCTCTTAACATCTTGCATTTCTGAGGCATTTATCATAAATGAGAAGCCAATACTGATACGTTACTATTCCCTCAAGTCTGCAGTTTACATTACGGTTCCCTCTTGGGTTTTGTTACCTGGAGTTTTCATAAATGCTTCCTGTCTAGCATCCACCTTTACAGTATCACAGACTAGTCGGCTGCCCTAAAAATGGCCTATGCATTTGCTTTGGTTTATTGAAATGAATTAGATTGTGTTGACAATTTCAAATGCTCGGGACATGCTTTCTTTCCAATCTGGCTTTTCTTGAATATATTTTAGAGCGGTGTTTACTCTTGATTTTATATTGTAATTTGATTCAGTTATTGTCAGTTCTGATACACAGCAAACCTATACAGGGTTTCTAAGGAGTGGCTGGTGGACTTGAACCGCCAACCTTGCAGCTGACAGTCCAGTGCAACACCAGGACCCCTCTAATTAGCTATGCCTTAATTATGAATTTATTGTACTATTAAGAATCCATGTGATCTATTTCCAACAAATGAGGACAGCCAGCTCTGAGAGTCCCTGCAGCTCTCACACATGCGTACCTTTCTCAGAGACCTGGGAACTTCTGGCCCCTGGTCCTGGCCCATCCTGTGCCTGCAACAATCCACAAGTGGCACCGCTCCCCCACCCCCACCCCCACGTGGCTGGTATCAGACAAAATGCCAATGTAGAAGAAGTAAAGTTTGTTTTGTTTCTATTAGGGAATTTATTTTTTCAACCGTGCTATTTAGTTCTTAGGCTAAGAGAGGCACAGATAGAAGAAAATGGCAGACGACAGACAAGGATAATGTGTGAAGTGTTAGGATTCTGCCTGAGAACTATGCCTCCTGGACTGCATCTTGATTGTCACATTTCCACCGTCAGTGGAAACAAGGAGCAACAGTTCTGAGTTAAACACCTCCGCCTCAGGCTGTCAAGCACGCAAAATGAGGATGGTAGTGATTTTTAAATCTGTGAAAACTCCCTTAGAAAAACAGGAAGAACCTACAGCGAACATTGTCAGCAGTACAACTAGGAAGGTGGTGGTTGTGTGCCTTCTGATTATGGCTGCTTGGTGGTGTGACCTTGTATATGGTTTCCAAGGCTATAAATCTTTACGGGAATAGAAAGCCTCATCTTTCTCCTGTGAGCGACTGGTGGATTCAAACTACTGATTTTGAGGTTCTGCTGCACTACCAGGGCGTATTTTCAGCCTTGTAGGTTTGCTTCACTTTAAGAACTTCTTTATCCATATTGCGAAGTCCTCGTGCGGCACTCAGCAGTTAACGTTTCTGGAATTCTCAGTTCAGCTTACACCCTCTGACTGAAAAATTCAGTTGAACAAGCTTTCTGCTCAGTGGATGCCAAAACTGTTGCGCTCAGGTCAGCTGTAGACAAGAGCAACAGGCTTTAGGGATGCTCAAGGCATTTTGCTTGCTAAATTTCTAGAGCCACTAGTCCTGGTGTGGCCGTGGGCTAATGCAAAGTCGTTTGAACTACATGGTCGGTGGTTCAAGCTCACCAGCTGCTCCTTGGAAACAGTATACAGGGTCGCTATGGGTCGGAATCGACTTGACAGCACTTAACGACAACAAAGAATGAAAACATCTACTTATTATGAGAGTGTCTGGTGAAAGTTAGCTAAGGCTTTAGCCAAAAAACAAAAACCTCCAGAAATCTTCCATTATTGGTGATGACGTAGAGAAGCTGGAATGTTCTATCTAGCATTGTTGGTGGGACTATGAAGTGCTGCAGCCTGCATCACGTATAAGCTTAAGATGATTTTTAACTTTTTATTGTGACCTGAATGAAGGTCTACAGATCACTCAATAAAGTATACACTTCACGTCATTACAATGAGTGCAATCCACTACTGACCTCTCAAGAGTTTGGGGGTTTTTTTGCAGTTCTTTTTGACTGCAGATTATAAACCACAATAAAGATGTATGGAAAATACTTTTATTGTGGCAAAATATTTAAAAATTGAGAATGGGTGAGGGGCACATGGCGTTCGATCATACAATTCTCTGTGTTTTGGTTTCTTTTCCTACTTTTTCCCATGGAGCTACGCACATCCCTCTAACCACGATGCTCTGTTCTGCTTGCAGGTGCCCATTTTCATCCCCATCTTGATGACTCTCGTATCACTGTTTTTGGTGTTGGCTCCGATCATCAGTGAGCCGGCAATGGAGTACCTCTACTGCGTGATATTTATACTGAGCGGCCTTGTATTTTACTTCCTTTTTGTCCATTACAAGTTTGGATGGGCTCAGAGAATCTCAAGTGAGTATCAACCACATGACTGTTGTGTGCTCTTAGAAAACCCCAGACACACATGGCATCTTACAACCCACTGGTCTGGGCTCCACCTAGAGTTTGTTAACTCTTGTGACTAGCGTATCTCAGCTCTTCTTCAGGAGAGCTCAAGAACCCCACCTCACAGTGTGACATCTCTGGGCTCTTTTAGATAGGATGGAAAAGCCCCCTTTCATTTCACAGACAGACCCAAGGGACCAAGTTGGGACTAGGGGGTTGGCACCAGTTCCCAGCTCTGCCTTTCCACTGGGTAATGTCGGCTCCTCAACAGTTGCTGTTGGCATTGTCACTTGGAGGCAGAGCTCACTGAGCCACTACCTCACCCACTTACCATATCAAGTCAATTGTGAACCTCTGGTGATCCCACGTCTCACTGCAGCAGGGTTTTCTGTGACGACTGTTTTGGGAGATGAGAACTTGTTTTTTGATGCCAGCATGCATGGCTCAAAGGAGGCTCTGAATTACACCTCATTGTCTCCATTCACAGTGCCTCACCCTGTACAGCGGAGTCAATGGCAGGAAGCCCCATTTATAACACCCTTCGAGGCCCCCGCCCCAATACCTCATGGTACAGCAGGGGCATCCACTTGTCACCTACACTGAGTTCCCTGAAGGCAGGAAGTGGGCTATGGATGATTTAATTCTGAGTCAAGCATAGTATCTTGTATTTAACCAGCACTTAATATTAACTACATATAATTTTAAAGTCCTGGTGGGTGGGGGGGTCTAGAAGTGCTAGAGCACCAGGTCGGCAAGTGGAACTCAAGAGCCACTCCTTGGAAATTTTATACAGGGTCACTACCAAATCAACACCAACTCTATGGCACCTAACAGCAAATGTGATTTAAACCCTGACGCTTCCTTTCTCCTTCAGCCTGTCTGAGTAAGGGAGCAAAGAGATCCCTTCAGGGGCTCCTGAGTGGTTTTCATTCACAGAACTTCAATTCAGGGAGAACATGCATAGTATGGTGTCCTGGTGTGGCGCTGTGGGTTAATGTGCTGGACTGCAAAGTTAGTTTGAACCAGAAGGTTGGCAGTTCAAACTCATCAGCCATTCCTCGAAAACCCTATAGAAGGTCACTATGAATCAGAACCGACTCGACACCACTTAGCAGCAGCTTACACAGGTATGAGAAGGCAATGCTGCTTATCTGGGATTGAGAAAGCTTTCCGTTTTCCTCACCTGTGAAGTGACGGTGGGAGGTACAGTCGAGACACTTCCCTTCATTTTGATTAACAAGGTAAAACACGAAACACAGCTGTATTATTTCCATAAGGATTCTGTTTCCTTTCCTGAAACATTCCCCCGCCCCCCTCGCTCTTTTACATTGGATTTGATCCCATTGACAGAAACTTAGAGCAGAAAACTTCACCAAGCTCCTTTCTGCAACAACTGGTAAAACACTGAAAGTAAGGTGAAACAAACCCAGTGCTTAGTGACATCACTCCCTTGGCCACCTATTGTAGTAGCGGTAGTACGTACGTGCTGTCGAGTTGGTTCCAGCTCACAGCGACCCTGTATAGGGTTTCCAAGGAGCACCTGGTAGGTTTGAACCACTGTCCTTTGTAGCTGGCTGTCCAGTGCTGATCCTACAGCACTCCATCAGAACCCATACAGTTGAGGTGTCCATAATTTTCCTAAAGAGTAAATTGTTTCGTGACAATAAAGTCTTCTTGTTAAGTGCTGTCGAATTGGTTCCAACCCTGTGTAGTTTCCAAGGAGCGGCTGGTGGGTGTGAACCACCAATCTTGTAGTTATCAGTTCAGTCCTTATCCTACAGTGCCACACCAGGACTCTGATAAGAGGCATGCTATTGTTACATGCCATCAAGTCAGTTCCGACTCATAGTGCCCCTGTATAGGGTTTCCAAGGAGTAGCTGGTGGGTTTGAACCACTCACCTTGTGGTTCAGTGCTTACCCCACAGCTCCACACCAGGACTCCAATGAAAGACTTTGTTAGCCCTTAATGCCAAGAATGAATGGAGTGCCCTGCACATGACAACTCTCAGCAGCATACCCACTCACAACCGGCTTCCACACAGAAGTGAGGAGCAGCCGTACCTGAGGTGGGGAATTTGAAGTTAGTTTTCTCGCTGTATTCATCTAGTCTTTTTCCCATTTCAGAACCGATTACCATGTACCTTCAGATGCTGATGGAAGTTGTCCCACCAGAAGTAGCTCCGGAGTAACTAAAGTGCAGTCTCTGTAGCCAAGCAAACTGTGAATTTATTTTTGTAAGCAATATTTGTGGTTCTTTCTTTCTCATGGAAAAAAAAAATTGTATTCAGGTATTTATGATCTCTGTATTTTTAGACTCCTGAATGAATTCTCTGAGTGGGGTTTCTAGATAGAACACATGACAGGTGTTTTGCTAAGGTTAGCAGTAGAAGACATAACCTCACAAAATGCTGAGGGGGCTAGGAGACCCCACCACCATTATGGTAACGGCCATTTAACAAGGGGGCGACTTCAATAAAAGGGATTCCTAAATCAATGGTAAATAAGACATATTTGTATATATAAAATTGGCAATGTTTTTGCTTTGACTGAAAGATTTTTAAAAGAGCAAATATTTTGTTACCTACTCCACCCTCCCAAAAAGAGTCCGGCAGCCCTCGTATTTCACCTCGAGACGTGCTGGGCAGGTCCGTCCCAGGCTCCCACACACTCCCCAACAATCCTCACTAGTATTTGGCCAAAACGAATAAAACTGTATTTTGCATTCGGCACATAGGGAAAAATGGTTTTTAAAAAGGCAAAAAAAGTAAACATTTTTCTATGGAAACACTGATAATTTACTGAGGTTCTACCCCCAAAACATTCACATTCACACTACAGTTTGAAGTCTAAGTATTTTTATCTTGCATTTCAGACGTTTACTCCAAACATGAAGCAGAACTACTGCTGACATTTCACAAGTTAGCATCTATGTCTGTAACAAAATGCTCAATGGAACTTCAACTATTAGGAAACTTCAAATGTCTACAAAAAGCAACAGAGTCCAACATAAGGTCACTGCCCCGGGATTTCCGTGTTTGTTGGCTACCTACCTAGGAGAATTCTCATTACTGCTGTGCAGGCTAAGCCCGCACCACGTGCACACAGGGTACATCTACTTGTGTAGCTCTATGACTTGCTCTGATACTTGACCTCTTTTACAAAATCAGAGGGAGGACGAGAGCAGGAGGTAGTTAATAAGAGGCCAGCCAGAGACTTGGGGGTTGGGGGGAGCCAGCACACCAGGTGACGCCTAATCCCCAGTCCCAAGATCTCCAACATCTACGGAAGCTGGCACCTAATAAGGATGTTACAAGAGTTATCAGCAAAGACAACACAACTTATCAAATTTGGCCAAAGTCACCAATTTACTTTGGTTCCAATTCTTCTGAATAGCGTGGTAGCAGAAAGGGCAGGCAGCTGGACACCACCAGAGGGCAGTGCTGTGACTACTCATCACGGGTACTGAGTGGTCACTCCCTGAGGTGAGGTGTGGCCATGCAGCCAGTTCAATGTCTTATATTACAGATGAGGAAACTGAGACCCAGAAGGGACCAAGATATGCTGACAGAATGCCTTGATGTTACCTCTCGTTCAAGTGGTGGCTTGTACCTGGGACACATGCCAACTTGGGCATCTGGGCTTTCTGATATAAACAAATACTGATGATATTGGGGCACTCAGCAGACAGGTCCTAGAAACAAGGTTTAAATCTCCCAATAGGTCACCTTCCTAATTGTTTCAGCTAACAAACACGGCAAATCCATCTCTGAGCATTCTTACACTTCAATGGTAGCGACTATATACAAATCTCACAATCTCTAGACCTTGGGAGCCACTCTCCCCCTGGGATGGGACCATGAATGTTTTTAGGGTCTCACGTCTAGGTGTTGGGTTTATTACCTCAAGGCACCCTACAGGTCCTTTTGAAGTTTCTGCTAAAGAGAAACGTTTGTCCTGTTTACCTAGGACTCTGCAGGTACAGGTATTTGATGAGGGGCAGGACTTCACCTCCAAATGGTCTAGTCTTGCTGGACTGGTCGGCACAGTAGCTAGCTGTCTTAATGCTGAAAGGACTAGTACACGGAAACAGTCACATCTCATCCCAATGAGCTCATGGTTAAAGGGGGTCAGGCCGCGCTCAGGGGGAGTCTTTAAGATGGAAATCTCTATTCAGATGAGCAAGGCCAATTTTGAGAAGCACCAGCCTAAATGAAAACAAAACGATTAACTAATAAACTCCAACTGGTTATCCAAACAGCATGGTTATCCTTCGTCCCTGGAGCCTGAATGTGCCAAGATGGGTTCCTGTCAGCAGCCAGGCGGGGAGCAGGTGTAGACGCTGGGCTTGTGGGTGCAGCTTGGCTCCAGCATGGTTTTATATGAACTCGGTGCTCTTCACTATTACCAATCCCAGCATCACACGGTGACAGTATAATGTATCTTTCAGGTAAAAGCAGGTTTGAGTATGCCTGCTTGTTTTCATAATTTTCAGTCACACCGCACTGTTCATCTTGGTTCCAGTTCTGTCCACTCTTCGGAGCATACTTCGCGCCCTCACTCACTGTCACTTTTTTCATCCTCTGAAGAGCTGTAACTGTCTTCAACTACTTTTGCCACTTTGCAGGATGGACTTTTAGAATTTATAACTAAAAAAGTTCCAAATGATTAACAATATGTTAACTATAGGCAGAGAATGGTTATTTTCCCTGTGACTGTATCAATGCAGACAAAGTCCCTTGGTGTCTAGCTCTATCTAGTTGGCCGCTTACCTCTATCTTCATTATTTTAGTGAGAAATGAGTGGCTAAGACTTGTCTGCTAATAAATAAGTTGTTCCTCTGGAGACAATACCTGTCAAAGTCTCATTTTATACCTTTTTTGTTTTACTATGAAGGTATCAACCACAAGGAGAAAACTCTCTCCTAAGAACTTTACAGGAGCCCATTAATCCACCCAGGGCACAGCCCAGGTGAGTGAGGGTCTGCTCCCCCTACCAGCCTCTAGGGAGCGAGTGTGCAGCATCTTACCTTTAGAGAAGTGGCCTTCCTCCTCACGTTCCTCCCAGTGATCAAAATCAAAAGCCACATTCGGATTCTGTTCAAAACAGCATTTTACACTAAGTGGGAGACTAAAGCCCATCAAGGGTGTAAGACCAACCAGTTGCCTCCACCTCACCTTGTGTCTGAGTAAGCGACACCAGGATTCTCTCCTCTCTTTGGCAAGCGTGATGGTAGGCTCCTCATTGGTAATTAGGCATTTGCAGTCGTCTTTGACTATGTTGGCCTGAAGCTCCATGTCAGCCAAGTAAAATTTGTCTCCCACCCAGGCACTAGGTTCACCAAAGGAAATGAAGTCAGGCTTCTAATGGTTATTTCTGAAAGTTATTTCTAATTACCATCATAAAACATATGAAAACCTACCTGAAAATGACTCTATCTCTGAAATATTTACATCTGTAATCTTTTACATTCCTGAGTTTTATCTTTAAGATGATCGCATCGTCTTTTTGAAACCATTTTATCTGGGGGTGAAAACTAGAACAAAATGGTTTACATGTTTATCAGTTATTGCCTATTGCAGTTGTTGTTGAATGCCCTTGAGTAGTTTCTGACTCAGAGACCCTGTGCTTGGTTTCCCAGCCCCCACAGCTGACTCTCCACCAATCCATGATGTACCGTTTCCCGTATGCATGACATACCATTTCCGGTCTGGTTGTGCAGCTTTGTCCATGGAAGCATCTCCAGTGTTTTCATCTTCAGATAAGGCTTCTGCACAAAATCAAATTCAAGTTTTTATAAATTAATTATATGCACACCTCTATTACTTATGATCTTAGTTTTGCATTTTATACATACTGTTAGCTGAGAAATTACTCATATAAAGAGTAATTTCACAGTAACCCAGAATCCAGTTGCAAAGAATGAGAAAAAAGTTAAACTGCACATCCCTTAATAACACTAACACGTTTTAAAATAAAACTAGGTTTTGACAAATATTAAGCAATCAGAAAAAGTACAATTATGCTTTTGAAATGGAACCACATTATAATAAATGCTACAGTTCACAGATATTCGGGCTTCTTTGGGCCTGTTTTAACCTGCCATTAGAGACAGCTTCTAAAACTATAACCATTATGCACATGCAACCAATGCAGAATGTGACATTTTCTAAGAAGATGCAATTTAAACTTTTAAATCTGAAATGTTATGCATTTTCATCCAAACACTTGAACAAGAATATTAATAGCAGAAGAGCTAGACAGTGTGGGGCAACTACTACCAACTGCTCTGAAAGAGATCACAGTAGAAAAACCCTGAGCAAGTGGGAGAAAATGTGGAACAAAACTCAGAATTATTTTAAAAAGACCAACTTTACTGGTCAGAAGGATACTGGTGAAACCTGAGCCTACGGCCCTCAACCCCCTTCAGGTCTAGAGAGGAATTCACCGGCGTGGCCCAATTTTCCGCCTAGCAGCAGATAGGTTTATAGGGGGACAAGACCAGTACGGTAAACTATCATGGAATGGTTAATCACTCAAAATCAAAAGGGCATCATTTTCCTAAAGACAATGTTGAGAAGAGATGGGAAGTAGGGTAGAAGGCAAATAGGAACCACAAGGAGAGAGTGGACTTTGGTTGCATGGAGGGGATTCTAAAATCTGGGATAAAACACAGTGTATGATTTGTTGAATGTAAAGCAAATGATCTTCTCTGTAAACCTTCACTCAATTCACAGGAAAATGTAAAAGTTCACAGCTGTTTTTCTCCATCTTAATATTTTCTCTATGTTGTATCTCTTTTTGGCCTTTGCAGATGGTCTGCAATCTGAATGCATCTATGTTGCAATGGGTTTGTGTTCATGACAGTTCTAAAAACCATAGCCCAAACCTGAAAACAACTCACACACCTATCAGTAGGGGAACAGAGAAATAAAAGTACCACCACTATCTGCAATAATTCAGATGAATTTCAGACACGCTGTAGAGGGAAAGAAGCCAGACATACGATATATACATCACTCCCAAACTTGCAAAATTCATAGGGATGGGGGTCTGAATAGTAACGACTAGGGAGGCACACGGCGTCCAGTATTCTAGACTCAACAGTTTGATCTGGGTGTCATTAAGCTGCACACTTAAGATCTGTGCAAGTCACTGAATGCATGGTATATATACCTTACTTAGTGAAAAGGGAAAAAGTTCCCAAATAAAAATAAGTAAAACCCCGGAGTCAGACTTGCCACAAACGGGAAGTTTGGCAATTGCCCACTAAGCTGCTTTCTCTGTAATGCATCTAAAAGTGCAAAGTCCACATTAGGAAATGTTCAAAATACAAACGACTTTAAGCTCACCATCTTTGAAATAACAGCACTGACCCTGCTTTGGGGTTTCTGAGTTCGTCTCAGAACCGGGGCCTCTTTCTGAAGCCCCGTCCTCCTTCCCCATGCTCTGCAGACCAGCAGCGTCTTCTTCCGCAGAAGGAGGGCTCCTGGATAGAAGAGGAAGAGGTTAGCCCAAGCCTCTGGAACGTGAAGAGACCATCACAAACAGTGGCTCTCTTGACAGGCCCTTGGCAGCAGGAAGAGGAAGAGAAGTGCGTACTCCCTGCACTCACAATCTGTCCTCTTTGCTGTTAGAACACAGCTCCCCAAACCTCATCTCACGGTGAACTGCTGTCCCTCACCCCAACACGCTATCTAGTCAGCTGCATTTCAGAGTGTCCACCGGCTGACTACCTAGGTGGAAATGCCACAACCTAACCATCGACATCTCGATGTCTGCCCACCAATGCCACCCTATAAGCCTCCTCTCTCTCTCCACCAGTGAGATTGTTATTCCAATTTATCCCAAACATTTCCCCTCTGATTTTTAATCAAAAGATTGTTTCCCCATAAACGACAATACCCAAGCCCACTGCCATCAGGTGGATTCTGTCAGTGAGCCTACACAGGATCAGGGATTGTCAGTCTTTACGAGAGCACACAGCCTCACCTTTCTTCCTCAGAGTGGCTGGTGGGTTTGAACTGCGGACCTTGTCTTTTGGTAGAAACACGTTTTGCCCAGTCCCCGACCTTAGGGTTGGCTGTGGAAATGTATGGTGCTGCCATTTTGGAAAGTTGGACAACAGCCCTAATTATGACCCAACAATTCCATTCCATTCAAATGCTTACGTGAGTGCAACCAAGACAGGGAAGAGCCCATTCACAGCACCAAGACTCCAAGCAGTCCAAAGTTGGACATCTCCCCACTAACAGCAGACTGAGAAATAAGGGGCTAACACAGTCAGTGTTCACACAGTGGGACGTTACGCAGCCATCGAATGTATGGTCTACAGCTGCCGCATGCATCCGCTGGATGAATTTCACCACTTAAGAAGGCAGCCCCAACAGAGCTATGCCGCATGATTTTAGTCACACCAAGTACAGAACGAGGCAAACACCCACTGTGCCTTTCCACATCCGAGCAGCGGCTCCCCAGGGAGGGAATAGAGGAGAAACAGGACAAAGTCCCTGGGTCAGTCTTTCTCAATCTGGGGGCGCTTACATGGTGCATTCAGAAAACCCACCACATTCGTTTGTGTGTGCTTGTCAGTAAAAGTTAATATCAATCCTCTTCTGTACAAAAGAAGCCTGGTGGTGCAGGGGATTAAGTGTTGGGTTGCAAATCACAAGGTTGGTAGTTTAAATCCACCAGTTGATGCCCAGGAGAGAGATGAGGCTGTTGCTCATTATAGTCTTGGAACCCCCATGAGGCAGTTTCTACTCCATCCTACAACATCACTAAGAGAATCGACTCAAAGGCAATGGGCTGTTCTGTAAGAGATACAGGTGAAAATAACATACCATTCCACCCAAAACAAAGGTGTGGGTTGTAGCTTGGATAAAACATGATTCTGAGAACCTGGATCATTATCGAAGCTGAGTAATAAAGACATGGGGACCCAAGAAACTATTCTCTCTCTTATTTAAAGGGGGGAGAAAAAAAAAAGAGGTCTCCAATACTTGTGTTATATTTCTACACCTCAAAAGGGGAAGAAAAATCCACTTACGGGGTTTCTTCACAAGCTGGCATTTTAGCTCTTTCATACAAGGCTTTCAGTTGCTCTGTATGCTCGGCATTGTCAACACCCATTCCCATAGACAAAATCTCGGCTCGAACGTTATAATCAATGACAGAGGTTTTCAAATTTGAAAGTTTTGTAACATGTACCTTAAAGCAAAGGAAAAATACAATATTGGCAGGAATCACAACTTGCATTGCAAATGAATCTCACACACTCTCATGAGGACTCCTGCCCCCTTCCTGGAATGTCTGGCACCTGCCATAACATGTATGGTGTCCCACTGGCAGCTCCCAAGTTGTTTTATAACCACCACGGTCACAGAATCTTCCAGAGCGCCCAGGCTGATGTTCCAGAATTATGATCAGGCCCGGGGTGGGACCAAGATTGAAGTCTGGAATAAAATCCCTGGAATAGACCAATCTGTAATAGTGTTCAGTGCATTATGAGTTGGTTCCAACTCATAATGACCCAGTATAGGGTTTCTGATAAGCAGCTGGTGAGCTTGAACTATTGATCTTGTGGTTAACAGTCCAGTATTTACCCTACAGCACCACACCAGAACCCCTATAATGCTGTCATCCTACACAAAATTCTTACAATAGCTGGCTTTCACCCAACTTCTAAAATTATATCAAGGAGAGGCCTCTACTAAGTGCTAATATGGTCTGTATTCTCTGTCTAGCTCACTTTCCCAGATCGCTCTTTGCAAGAAGGATCCGAAGGCTTCAGAGGAGATGACCTTGCCACCGGTGGCAGGGAGAGGACTGAGTCCTATCAGGTGTCCAGAAGCCTGTGTTCTCAACAGTTACCTCCAGAAACAGTCGTCTACTTCAATTTATTACAGAATGAAGCGTGAATAGTCGGCATGAAGTACAAGCAGCCTGAGGGTGGGGATGCATTAGTGCCCAGCTGTGGCGAAGTGTGCTCGAGCAGCTCCGGCTCTTAGGGACCTTGTATCCAGTTTGTGAGGCTGTAAGGCTTTCCAGGAGCCTCAGTTTTCTCCCTCAGAGCGGCTGCTGGGCTTGTGGTTCACAGTCCAGCGCTTATCCTACAGAATCACCACGCTCCTATATCAGTACAATACTATATAAAATTAAGTTAAACATGAAAATTCAAAACAGTCTGCAGTTTGTGACCAACACTTAGAACAGAATATATGAGGGAATGTCACAGACATTATGCTTTCATTAATATGATTTCAGGAAACTTTGATTTCAGTAGTACGTGTGCAAACATGGTGTGCTGGATTACTATGCAAAATATTCCCTTAAAAAAATTTAAAACTAAATACAGTACCAAAACAAAAAACAACTTTCCCCTAAAAGCTGAGCCCCAAACAGGCCTCCCTCTGTGTGAGGCAAAATTACTGAGACTGAAGGTTCTCCTGTATCTCACATCATCTGGATCATGAAGAGGTCCATTCAAACCCAAGTCCCTTGGTGAGAAAAACTAGCACTTACCATCGGATCAATCCAAACAGTATTTCCCAAAGCCAGTATCACTTTTGCATCATGCAATTTTCCAATAATTTTATGATGAATGTACCTAGTAACCTAAAAAAATAAAACCAAAATACTGCAGTGATGATTTGATGCTTTAGTAAACAGCTCATGCGGGGTATTTTGCCAGCCTCTCCAGGCATCTCACTTGAACCTGACAACCACACAGGAGACGGGTACAGAGGTGGACGGTGGTTTCATAGGGCAGATACAGACATGTGCGGATCGGCCCAACATCTCACACTAGTGAGATGCCAGAACAGGGGAGGCATTGTCTTTGGGCTCCTGGTAGCACATGTTCCCCGAGGTGGACGCGTGAGCCCTGCCTCCTCTCTCTAACATGGTGGACACCCCGGAAAGTTCAGCGCAGTGGAGTGACAGAGGCCTCTGCTAGTGCAGAGGAGGAACCCTGGCGATGGAGCCATGCTGTAGCCAGGGACACCGGACTAGGCCCATCTCCTCTCTATCAGGACCACTGACCAGGAGGCCAGCCCCAGGTCCTGTTCCAACTCCTGTAGAGCTGGCCCATCACAATAAAACTGTCTCCACCCCCCTTGGGGACAAGCACTATGACATCAGCTAATGGCTTCACCAGGCCCCAGCATAGCACTGGCACACAGTGGGCACTCGGGTAATTTCTTTCAAGCAGGAAAAGGATAAATAAAGTGAATAAAGGTCATTTCTACTGAACTCACATCAGTGAGGCTGTACAACTATCCTGGACTATGAAACACTTTCCAGTCTATTTCCTTGTTTCAAACCTTCAGTATTTTTACTTTCCCAACTGCTCATTTCCTGTTCCATGACCCAGCTTATACACCATTCAGCCTTCCCCTAAGAACTGGGAGCATCATTATGAACAAGACTCAAGCTCCAGTGCAGAACAGAACTGGTCTGTGTGGCCGGCGAGGGCTGGGCCTCTTCATGTCCTCATAGATGGCCACATGAGCCCAGGATACACCACAGACTGTCTTTTGTCTTCAGCACCTTCTATTCTGCTTTTGTTGGCATCTTAGTGACCCACAGGGCCCAGATGATACCTCCCATTCACTGGACGCTTCCTGGCCATTATCTCTCCCTCTCCATCTATCCTCCTGACGCCGAGAGAATGCCCACCACTCAGGCCACCACACTCACCACCCCCTCCCCCAGCTTTGATGGGAGCACCTGTTTTTGTAGGTGCTCACCATCTCTTCTCCTTGAAAGCCACTTCTACTTTAGCATGAATCAGCTTCGAAGACTGTGACGGTGCCAGTGACAACCGGACATGATCCCTCTCTGAGAGTCCAGGCATGGCTTCTGTGAACAGCAGCTGCTAAGAAATCCCTGCATTTGCAGGACCTGGAGCAGTCGGCAGCTTTAGGTCCCCAGGAACATGAACACAGAGCAATGACGGATTGGCAAGCACCATGCCCACACTCAATAAGCAAAATTCAAATAAGCCTCCCAGATGAGTTCCAAGTAGTCTATCAGTAAAACGTAAAAAGGCAAAAGAACACAACACACCTTTGGGTTCCATTCCATCTCACTGTCGGCAGGTCTCACTCTACAAACGATGAGCTCCACAGCTTGTGGGGGAAGAGTGTGGAAACTTTCAGGGAGGTGGAACAGCTGGTCTCTTGTGACAAGTCTAGTCCTGCCCTCATCTATGAACTTCACAAGGACATTGTCCAGGGCCCAAGGGTCTTCTTTTTGGCTTATCTCCAACACCTGAACTCTGGAGAACAATGGAGAGATTCGTTTAACACAGAGACTCCAGAAAAGAAATCTTTGCCTCAACTTACCCTTTATTGTATAAGTAAGCATACACGCATACAAGGGACTCCTGGTGTGGCACTGTAGGATCAGCATTAAACTTCAAATCACAAGGTCAGAGGTTCAAACCTACCAGGTGCTGCTCGGAAACCCTATACAGGGTCGCTGTGAGTCAGAACAAACTCGACAGCACGTAACACAAACAGCAAGCAAAGAGGAAGATTCCTACACGACATGGTTTTGCTTTACACGAGAAATAAAAACAAGGTCTTAAAGGGAGCTTTAAGTCCGGCGCTGTTGTTTGGTGCTGTCAAGCAGATTCCAACTCAGAGCAAACCATGTGACAGAGCAGAACTCCCCATGGAATTTTCTAGGTTGTCATCTTTGAGGGCACAGATCACCAGGTCTCCGCTCCTGTGGAGCCTCCAGCATTCCTTTGATTAAAAATGTGTGTAAGTGGAAAAAAATGTGCAATACTTCTTAAAAAGACTACGTCCCTTTATAGAAGACATGATGAAAATGAACACAGCAAATGAAAGTTCCAAGGTTTCTGTCACAGCTAGAAGCCAGCAGAGCCAGGTATGGCATTCACAGGAAGTGGCTGCTAACAGGCACATGGGACAGCAATTGATCGAGCTGGCCTTCCACATGCATGAGCGCTCCCAGACTGGACGATCTTCTCTGTGAACCACGTAGACGCCCTGTCAAACTGCTCAGCACATGTCAGCGGTTACCAGGCTACCTGTGCTGTGTCCAGGAGCCCAGGGTCCAGTCTCACCTGTACAACTGTAGCCGAGCCTTTGTATGCACTCCCCCAAGTCAGAAGGACAGGGATTCAATACCATGTAAGGTTACTTTGCGCGTGACAACTTTGAGAGATGAAATGAGTAGACATTTTACCTGTGAACAAATGTTTTTTCTGCAAATCCATATAATTCAAGTTTCTCCACCTTTTCAACAATTGTTTTATTACCGGACTCCTTAAAATACTTAGTCATTTCAGCAGCAAGACTTTCATACAGATCCACATGCTTAGCAATTATACGACCGAAGTAATTCGTTGCATTCAAAATGTAAAAAGGAATCACCTGAAACAGTAAATATACCCAGAGAAGAAGCTTACTCTAAACTTCCTGTTTCGGTAGAAATCAGCATCTGACCAAAGGGCCTAAGGAAGACAGCCATTCAAAAACTAGGACATGGCCAAAACAAGACAAAAACTTTATGACATTCACAAATTAGTGTCACTTTAAATTTAATGAAACTTTTTTTTTCCCTCTTTTGGCAAACATTTTTAAACTTCATTACTGAGTTTAAGTGCTTTTTCTATTGATGCTTTAACTTTTTATAGTGAACTGAGTGGCAGTTTACATGGGAGAGCATTAGCTTTACCCTCATCCTGTGCATCATCATCCAAAAGCATTTGTTTCCATTCTCTCTGTGGTTTTTTTTTTTTTTTTTAAGTACACTGAATCACTCAGGAATATATAACCATTCAAACAACCAAAGGGTACAACACGCAAGCCTGCCTCCCCACTCCCCCCACCCCAACCCCCGGCAGTCAGCATACAGACCCTCTCCCTCCCTGAGTCCAGAGTCCCCAGCCACTCCATCTCTTCATGTCATTGTCACTGTCTCCATCTCTGGCGTCACTGTTTCTCTGGGTAGGGTCCCGCTCTCCGCTGTTCTCCCTTGATGGTCCCAGGGACCTCCCCTCCCTGGACTGCAAAATCAACCACTCCCCTCCTTTTATTACAAAACATCTACCTTTACATTTCCAACCCTCACAGTCAGAACTGAACAGCAATTATTCGCTAATGAACCACAAGAGTCTTGTCCCCATCTCCTTTCACCAGCCCCATCCATACAGGTTCGAGACTACTCAGTGGCGAGTCTATCTAATTGTACTTTTATAAAGAGTTCCTTTGTGAAACTTGTTCACAACAAGCACTTCATTAAGCACCTACTGATACTCAGCACTAGGATACAGGGGTGCCGCCATGGTTTACATGGTGTCGGCCTGCACCAAGGCAGATGCCAGCATGTGTGAAGAAGACGCTGTACAAGGGAGAAGACAACAATCTGCACTGAAGCTGGGCGATCCCCTGCTCCCGAGAATAGTAGTTACCTGACGGGTGGGGAAGTGAGGTAGGCAAGGTGGATGGGAGACATGGTCTATCTCACAGGGCAATCTTAAATCCAAAAGGAAGCCAAGGGAAACACGGGTGATGGAGAATACTATGCTGCAGGGTGAGTCTCGAGTTGGGAAGCACCCAAAAGATGACTCCAGGAGGGCTGCTGCTCAGATGAGAGCAGGCCTCACCGAGCTGGATGGACAAAGCCTTCTGGACAGTCACAGGCTGATGGGGCAGCATTCCAATGAGAAGCAACAGCTACAAACATCCATTAAGGATAAGAATGTGGAAAGTAAGAAGTATGAATCAAGGAAAACTGGAAGTCATCAAAACTACAATGAAACACTTTTAGATTGATATCCTAGGTATCAGTGAGCTGAAATGCACTGTTATTGGTGATTTGGGATCCAGCTATCGTCTACTACGCTGGAAATGGCCAACTGAAGAGGAATAGCATGGCACTCAACAAAAACAATGCTACAAGTTCTATCCTGAAGTACGAGGCTGTTGTTGTTAAGTGCCGCTGAGTCGGTTCCAACTCATAGTGACTCTATATAGGGTTCCCAAGGAGTGGCTGGTGGGTTTGAACCACCAACCTTGTAGTTAGCAGTCCACTGCTTATGCTACAGCGCCACACAATGAATGCTAATAGGGCTAGGTTAGTATGAATGTGTCTACAAGGAATACCCGCTAATACAATTATTTACACACCAACCACTAATATCTGCTGTGGTGCTGTAGAATAAGCAAGCACTGGACCATGAGGTTGGTTTGAACCTCAAGGTTGGTGGTTCAAACTCACTAGCCGCTCCTCAGAAACCCTATATAGGGTTACTATGAGTCAGAACAGCACTTAACAATAACCGCCAATACCAAAGATGAGATTGAAGTTTTTTTTATAAATTAAATATTTCTACCAACTTCTCTAGTCTGAAATTGGACAAGCATGCAGTCACAATGCATTGACAGTTACTAATGACTAAGTCATGCTTGCTCAATTTCACACTAGAAATGCATGCCCAGTTCTGTGCCTGTGACAGTCCAGAAGGCTTTGCTCACCCAGCTCAGTGAGGCCTGCTCTGATCGAAGCAGCAGTCAAGCTTGCAGTCAAGATGCATTGACAGTTACTAACGACTAAGTCATGCTTATTCAATTTCAGACTAGAGAAGTTGGTAGAAATATTTAATTTGTAAAAAAAACTTAAATTTCATCTTTGGTATTGGTTGTTATTGTTAAGTGCTGTTCTGACTCATAGCAACTCTATATAGGGCTTCTGAGGAGTGCAGCCAGAGTGCTCCCTGGAGGCCAAGATGGCCGAACTTCATCTCTCATACTTCGGACTACTGTCAGGACGGACCAGTCACTGGAGAAGGATATCATGTTTGGTAAGGTGGAGGGTCAGAGGAAAAGAGGAAGACGCCCAACAAGATGGACTGGCCAAGTGGCAGCATCGATGGACTCAAGCGTTGCAACAGTAGTGAGGTTGGCCCAGGATCGGGCAGTGTTTCATTCTACTGTGCATAGGGTCGCTATGAGTTGGTATCGACTCAATGGCACCTAACAACACCACCACCACCACCAATGACTGAAATGTCAAAATTGAAAAGAGGATTGGTAGTTGGAAACTGCAGCTTTGATGATTAAAACTACACTGGAGATCCCATCATAGAGTTCTGCAAGACCAATGACTTATTCACTGGAAATGCGGTTTTTCAAAAAACACCAGTGACAGCTATATACATGGACTTCACTGGATTGTTTACACAGGAATGAAACTGACTACATCTGTGAAAACAGATGTTGGAGAAGCTCAATATTATCATAGAAGGCAAATACAGGGCCAACCAGGGCACAGACCAACTGCTCAGATGCAAGTTCAAGTTGAAGCTGAAGAAAATCAAAATAAATTCAAGAGAGTCAAAACATGACCTTTAACAAATCTTGTCTGAATTTAGAGATCATCTCAAGAATGCATGTGAAGCCCTGAACACTATGACCACTGTTGTTGTTGTTGTTGTTAGGTGCCCTGGAGTCAGTTCTGACTCACAGGGCACTATGCACAACAGAATGAAACACTGCCCAGTCCTGTGCCATCCTCACGATTCTTAGGGTTGAGCCCATTGCTGCTGCCACTGTATCAATCCATCTGGTTTGGGGTCTTCCTCCCTCTTTTACACTGACCCTCCACTTTTCCAAGCATGTTGTCTTTCTCCAGGGACTGGTTCCTCCTGATAACATGTCTGAAGTATGAGCATTTTGGTTGTACTTCAAACACAGATTTGTCTTTCTGGCAGCTCATGGTACTTTTAATATTCGTTTTCAACACCATAATTTAAACGCATCAATTCTTTTCTGGTCTCAGATTAAGTTGTGGAATGACATCAAGAGTATCATGCATAAAGAAAGCAAAAAGGTCATTTAAAAACCAGCAAAAAGAAGATCAAAATGGATATCCAAAGAGACTCAGAACATGCACAACATTTCTCAAGCTGAAAGAACTGAACTAAAAAACCAAGCCCTGAGTCACAATACTGAAGGATTCCATGGGCAAAAACTTCCAACAATGCAAAAAGCATCAATACACGATGGAAGTAATTACAGTCATTGTACGCAAAAGAATTGGTCAATGTTCAATCATGTCAGGAGGTAGCATAGGACCACGAACCAACAATGTGAAGGAAGTACAAGCTACATGGAAGGCACTGGCAAGAATAAGGCTCCAGGAATTGATGGAATTCAAACTGAACTGTTTCAACAAACAGATGCAGAACTGGAAGCACTCACTCATGTGTGCCAAGAAATTTGGCAGACAGATACCTGGCCAACCAACTGGAAGAGATCCAAAGAAATGTGACCCAGCAGAATGCAGAAATTATTGAACAATCTCATTAATACCACATGCAGGTAACATTTTACTGAAGAAAATTCAAAAATGGACACATACATACATTGACAGAAATTCAAACCAGATGTATAGGACATGGAATACAGGACATCATTGCTTTATGTAAGATGAAGCCCTGGCAGAAAGCTTGTGAAAGCTCGACAATAAAAAGTGAAGACTGATACAGGGACTGAGTCATGATTGGAATGGGGGGG